ATATATATATATATATATATATATATATATATATATATATATATATAGTCTTCTGCATGTTCATTAACAGAATACAATAGTGTCAGTTGTGTAAGCTTTTAAACAATTCACAGACAGTTCACTCCTGCATCTTTAGATACCATAGTTGTTGCAGTACCTCCTTCTCCAAGGTAAACAGCTGTGCTGGACTTAGAACTAACCACCCTGTCACCCCCATTGTTGTTAATCTCACAATCCAGGGGTTCTGTGGAGATGACCCATGTTGAAGGGCGCCATCTCTTTAGGGAATAAGGCGTTTTCACACGTTTCTTGATCTTTTCACCTGAGCCAGATTTCCCCTCAAGAGATGATTCACCCACTAAAAAGAAAGAATAGACAATGTTACTACACAGGCTGAAAAACATAAAAACAAAAAGAGCAAAATCCTGTGATAAGTTGTAGAGGATAACTATTCTTTAATCATATTCTGCATTCAAGCAAAGTATAATAATTAAAATGAAAGATGAAGTGATTTACTACCTAGGTTTATTATCATCATCATCAACATCATTATCATCATCATTTGTATTATTGTCACAACTAAAATCTTTAAGGCATTATTTTGGACTTATTCTTGAATGGCAGATCTCAGCAGAATAAACACAACATTTAAAGTATAGTTCATGCTAGACTGCAAATGAGAATGCACTATTACTATGAAAACAATTCAAAACTTAACAGAATACAAAAGAATATCAAATACTTTGGCCATAACTTCTCAGGATGTAATTTGTTTTGTGTAGAAATTGTTTTAAATGGAGAAGTATCAAACATTCAATAACTAAAATTGTTTGAAAAACACCAAAAATCATGTTGTTATTTTGCTTTAAAAATAGTATAATTTATGGAAGTTTTTTGTTAAAAGATTTGTTGCTGCATGTCTAAACTGACTAGTTAAATTCTTAATTCATCACTTATATCTTTTATGTATTCTGAGAGCTTATGCACCAAAGACAAATTCCTTGAGTTTCCAATCACACATGGCCAATAAAGAATTCTCTCCTCCCCATTCGTAGCTCTGCTTCTGAAAATTACCACACTAAGGAGACTGGTATGCTATGAAAAAACTAAAGTACACAAAAATGTTTTAAACCATGTGTTTTCTCTGGTGCTTGAAATTTCAAACATAAAGTTGTAAAATATATTTAATGCATAGTTGGTATGAAGGCTTCACTGAACTACAGGTAGTACTTGATTAACAACTGCTTTGTACAATGACTGTTTTCAGTTATGAGAGTGATGTAATAATAACTTTATGATCAATGCTCACATTTACAACCTCACATCTGTAAAGGAAAGGAAAGCTGAAGTGAGATCCTAAGTGCCACCAGTGTTTCACTTAGTGACTGCTTCACTTAACGACTGAGTTATCTATTTCAATAGTGTCTACAGAACTATATTGGGAAGAAGGCTCCTTTTGTAATCAAACTACTTAAACCCAATAATGCAATGTTTTATACAAATCTTATACTTGATAATCTGATACTTGCTATTTTATATAGATAAAAATAAATTATTCTGGTAGAATTCAACTAAAACTGAGGATCTGTTCCATTATGCAGCTTATTACAGGATAAGAAGCTTTCTAAAATGTAAAAGAATTTCTGCTCAGAGTGATTTAGAATAACATAATGAATTGTTAATGAGCAATCTATCAAGCAACAGAAGGTTTACTCAAGCCTTGAAAGCATTCTGTTTCATGCATCTCGAAAACACTGATATGAGATTTCCCTTGCTATTTTTTTGCCTTTCTGAAGACTCTATGATAACACGGGGAATGTATAACAAGCCAAAGATCAACTATTTGGGGAAAAAAAACCAGTTTTCCTAAAACATGTTCTTGAAGCCACAGCTCTTAGAAAACAATAAAGCCTGCACAAATTATTTTTAGATCTCATAAACATAAGCACATATTTATGCTTACAAGATGAAAGGATATGCTTTGCTGGAAAGAACAGAGATAATTTAACTGAGCTATGAGGCAGGCAGCAATGGAACAAATATAGAAATGGACATATACTTCGTTCTGGGGGGGAAGGGGGAGGAAAGGGTGCACTCAACAACTTTTGTCACTTAAAATCAACATGCTTAATTCTGAAAATAATTTTGCCAAGATTCACTGATGTATCCCAGTAGAACTCACACTGAATATTACACCCATCCATAATATTTGTGGCAGACAGATCCAGGGAGTTAGGCCTCTGTGCTCTTTTAGTGTGGATCGATCCAGAAGCTGGTGCTGTTCTCTGGCTGCTTTGGGTAGAAACACCTTGCTCTAGACACAGGTTACTGTTGTTGTTGTTGGTATTTGTCCGGCCATTATCTAGTGACCGTTCTCTTCTATCTACTAGTCGATCGAGGATGCCCTCATCATGGCTCACTTGTTGCTCCCTTCTTAATAATGGCTCATGTTCATCAGGACTTGAATTGATATTCAGACGACAATCTTCTCCACTGAACTGATGTTGCAACGTTTCTTGGGTTCTGTGTGTTCCTGAGCTAGTTGTTTGGCCCGATGGCACTGTCCCGTTGACATAATGTGTTGACACAGTATGAGAGTTTGTTGTATGGCTCCTCCCTGCCACTTCATTTGTGGTAACCGTTACTAAATGAGGTTCTGCAGCATTTATAGTATTCATCTTGGCAACTCCAGTTTCTACTTGCTTCAGGTTTGATTTGTGCTTCCCTCCAAATTTCAGCCGAGACTCCTTTGTTGAATTTTTGGTGTTTAAGGGTAGGCTAGTAGGCCTCTTTGGGAGGTTCTGCTGTTTGGGAAGAGGATAGACCTGAGCAGGCTGAACCTCTGGAATTAGGCATGCTTGGACATTTCCAACTTGCATGAAGTCCTGTTGTCCGTTTGCTTCTACTGCCAATTTTATCAATGGGTACAGCAAACTGGAACTAGTGCTGCTTAGTGGATCTGGCCCACTGAACTGCTTAAGAGAATGTTCCATTAGGTTTTCATCAGAGCTTTCTTTTAAGTTTTTGTCTACTTCTTTTGGATCCAGCTTGTTAGTTTCCAAGTCCTCCTCTGTTAGTTGCAGACAAACAGGAGTTGACCCACATGATTGCATGCCATTTGCAGCACAAATGTTTGTTTCACCTGAATAAGGCATTTCAGATATGGTGGTCATGCCAGTGCTTGGAGTAAGGCCAGTTGTGTTGGTGGTGGTAGTGTTGGTTGACAAGCTGGTAACACTAGTCTCAGGGCTTGGAATACGAGCTTGTGCTTGCTGCCGCTCATAGTTAATAGAATTTCTGTTCTTCTCACCAACTGTCAGTGGTGTGCTGGACGCTGAAAGTTCAGATGAAATGTTCTTCACTTTGCTATCACTGTGATTAACTGAATCCTCAATGAAAGATGAGGAAGAATATTCTTGATATGGTCTGATCTTTGTCATTCGTCTATGGTGTGACAGGTTTCTTTAGGAAAACAAAAAGACAATTGGATTAAGAGTACTTACATAATGTTTCACCTTAAAAGTATTTCAATGCAAAAAAGGATATTTTAAACAAGAAGTATAATGACTGAGGGACTGTACAAATGGGATTCCTTTTCATGCCAAATTAAGGATATTTTCAATTCAAACAATGCTATGTATGTCACTATGTATCTTTCAGAGTAACCTCAACTGTAATTAACTGTATATAACTCCTTTTGAAATGCTTTCCTGGATTTATTTTCAGTTTCATACTGAGACAGCCTATTGGTGCAGTCGTAGATATTTTTCTATGTTTACCTAGAGAGCACCATGATTTCAATATTGCGATACTGAGTGAGTTCAGGTTCCTTTTTCCAGGTATATAGCTAATAGGTACTGTATATGTGATAATTCTTAAGAAATTACTTCAGAAACAAACAATAATTGCAGTCTGTGACTCATGAACAATCAGCGCGAGAGGAAGGATTACTTATTGGAAAAACAGCTTTTTCTATATATGTAAAATTAAGTGCTAGAGAAATGTGATGTTCTTGAATGAAACCAAATTTTCAAGAAAAGCATGTGCAACAAATATGGAACTTGTGTAGAGAGACAGACAGACAGAGGCAGGCAGGCAAGCAGACAGAACTAAATACCGTTCATTTTGCATAGCTGTAGACATAGGGTTAACAGTTGGACTGACAGATTTATTCCTCTCCCAAATCATCATGAGTTCAGCCATCCTCTCTTCAGCACACTGGGCTGTCAGCCGAGCTTCAGCATCTTGATCCCAGCAGTCTTCAATTGTCTCCTTCAGTGACCTCACAGCCTACCAAAGAAAACAGGATGACATTTTCTCAACCTCTTTTTTTTTAATCTTTTGTTCAATCCCATAATTGGATCATGTATGATTATTAAGAACATGCAGGTCTAGGAAGAGTAGTATTACATAAGACCAAAGGCTTATCCATTCTAATATTGTTTCCCAAAACAGCTCACTTGATATTTAAGAAAAATCTGAACATTAGACAAAAAATGTTCTCTTCAAATATTATTTCCTTGACATTGACATTCAAAAGTATGCTACCATTGATCATGAAGATTTCACGACCAGTTGTCACTAATGTGACAAAACTCTTCAAACAAATAAGTAATGGTATATTTGTTGTTCAATTGTTAAGCCATATCCAACTCTTCACAACTTCAAATAGTATATTGGAAAACTGCTTGTTGCCCATTATTGATCAATGTATAGAGCTAGCATTTTACCTTACAAAAATGTAAGTCACCATAGCATACTTTACTTTTCTCTTTTGTACTTAAATGTTTATTACAGCACTTAAAATTTAATAATAATAGTGCTTTATTTTTATCTTCACATTTCAACAATGTCAACTTAAAAGAAAAAGCAGCATAATTTATTTTTTTGCTTTTCTTACCAAGCTGTTCTCTTTCCAGGCCTCTGGGAATTTGGGTCTTTGTTTTTCTCTAGAAACAAGGACTTGCATATCTTCAAAAGTGGGGTGGTTTCCAACTTCTACTTGGAATGCTGTTTGGAACTCTGGCACAGATTCTCCTGTTTGCAGAAAAGGGTACGTCAATATTATCAGGAAGCAGAAAACATAAAACAAAATGGAGTTGAGGGTGTTGGAGTCTAGCAAAAATGAATTTATCACATTGTTACTTCTTACTTCATAGACAAGATTAGATTTGTTAATTTATGCAGGCAGAAAATAAATAAGGAAATGGTATATAAATAGTTGGAGATATTCTAAAAGTTTTAGCTAAAACTAATAATTAAACAAAATTCTTTTTTTAAAATAAAGTTTTATTTGGGTTTTCACACACAAAATACAAGTAAAACATCTTTTTTGAAAATAGCATGGTCCCGGGTTGAACTTCTTTATACAGACATAAAACTCAATTTCATGCTCCTTTTTGTATTCTATTCCATATCTTATACCATTTTACATTTTCTATATAGTTTTTCCCCTCTTTTACTTTTCTCAATTTTATTTTGATTATCTGATCTCAATTCAAATCATTATATTTATACTTTTGTCTGTTCTGTTTCAATTTCATATTATCTTTTCTCATTAAACAAATTTTCTCCTGTAGTTACTAATTGGAGTATGACACTTTTATATCTTTTAATTACATCCATTCAACTCTTATTTAAACTTCAATATATACCTTAAATTTATGACCTTCAATATAATACATAATACATACTTTCCAATCGAATTCTGCCTGGCACATTCTTATAATACACACTATATTCTTTAAAAAAGAAAGAAAGACTGTAAATATATGTAAACCCTCATTCCATTCCAGTTCAGTTCTATCATTAATAATCATTAAAACCATAACATCTTTAACACTTCTTTTCAATTAAATATCATACTTCCTTAAAAACACATATAATCTCCATAATTAATTTTTCCCTTATTTCTCTTCACATATGTTTTGTAAATAATTAAATATTCATTTTGTTACATTTATTTATTGACAAGCATTCCACTGAATTACGATAGCTATTTTATCAGACATTTTAATCATACATTGTTTCATATTTTCTAAAATTATTTCTGCTTCTAATATAACCATACTATCTTATGTACCTTTGCAGAATCCCTTTTTCCATTAAGTTTTCACCCATTATCTCTAAATAGACCCTGTTTCTCTATATTTTGCTTCTGTCTTTATAACTTCTTTTCCTTTCTTTCTTCCCTCTCATCTTCTCCCTCCCCTTTTTATCCCCTTGTCTCTCTAGTTCTAATTCTCTCTTCTGCATTTCCCTCTTCTGTTGCTTTCTGATTTTATACTTATTTTTCACTCTATTTTTGGGGGGAGTTGTTTTTCCCAATCTTAAACTTTCCATTCTCTTTCTTCCCTTTCCTTCCACCCCCATCTAAGATTACTTGTTCATTAAAGATGGCTTCTTCTTTGTCGCAATCTTCTTGTTCTGCAGGCATTTCTTGTTGTTTCTCATAATTCCAAATCTCCATTTCTAAAAACTGAAATATGAAGCCAAAAGAACCTCTCCCTTCTCGTACATCTTCTTTGTACTTTTTAAGTTCCATTTTCAGTTCTTCTAAAAGTGGAGCCATTTAAAAAAGTTTTAAACAACCACCCGATTGATTTTAGTCATTCAAAACAATAACCAAGAACCCAGAAATCATCAAGTAATCCAGATAGTCCCGAGTTATATCTTCTTATTTCTTTTTCAACTTTCTCTTCCTGGGGTTTTTGTTGCAATATTTCAGTTAAAATGTATCTTTTGGAAGTCTTGTTGAGATTTTGCTGTAAGTTCTTTTTTAATTCCAGGCAGTCTCCTCCCTTCCAGATCCTGCCCTTTTATTCTTCCTCTCTCCTTTCCTGTTTTCAAAAGCTTTTAATTATCCAGAAATCTTTATTATCCCTTTGACTTTTTATTTCCAGCATTAAATGCCTATTGATGTCAAAGTGGATTTTTTTCCAATTTCTTGCTTAAGTCTCTTAGCTGTCAGTATAGGAAAAGGAGAAAACCAAATCTTTTCCCTTTTCTCTTTCCTTCGCAGCTTAAAAATCTTCTTAGGGAACAATGTTATTGTTTTTTAACAGTTTCAATTCCAGGGTACCTTATTTGTTGCTTTTGCTGTTTCACCTGGTCAACCAAAACTTTCTCTTATATTCCTCCTGCACATTCTTTTCTGGTCAAGTTCTTTGTGGTGGCCATTTCTGACCATCGCTGCAACCGCCTTTGGGAAAGGGAGTAATGGCCAGCTGGGGAGGAGAGATGCGGCTCTCCTCAACCCTGCTGGCAGTCTCCCCCCTATTCACCACCTCTACGGGGTGGCTTAGCCCCGAAACCAGCTTTTAAACAACCACCCAGTTAATTTTAGTCATCTAGATGCAAAAACCAAAAATCACCAAGTAATCCAAGGCTTTTTCTACTTGCTTCTTTTTTCCACTTTCGCTTCCTGGGGTTCTATTATTTTGTTACCAAGTTTCCATTAAAATGTATCTTTGAGGAATCTTGTTAAAATTTCACTGTAAATTCCTTTTAATTACAGTTCCAGTCCTTAATTCCAGGCAGTCTCCTCCATTTTTCCAGATCCTGCCCTTCTATTCTTTTTTTTTCTCCTTTCCGGCTTTTAAAAACTTTTAAATGTCCAGAAATCTTTATTATTCCCCTTGACTTTTATTTTCAGCTTAGATGCCTATTAATGTCAAAGTGGATTTTTTTTTCAGTTTCTTGCTTAAGTCTCTTAGCTGTCAGTATAAGGAAGGGAAGAGAAAAAAAAGTAATCCTTTCCCTTCTCTCTCTCCTTCGCAGCTTCAAAATCTTCTTTGGGAACAATGTTGTTAAGTTTAAATTCCAGGGTACCTTATTTGTTGTTTTTGCTGTTTGACCCGGTCAACCAAAACTTTCTCTTCTTATCTTCCTCCTGCACATTCTTTTCTGGTCGAATTCTTCTTTGTGGTGGCCATTTCTGACCACCACTACAACCGCCTTCGGGAAAGGGAGTAATGGCCAGCTGGGGAGAGGCTCTCCTCAACCCTGCAGTCAGTCTCCCCCCTCTTCACCACCTCTACGGGGTGGCTTAGCCCCGAAACCAGCTGGCTCTGGGCGCTCCAGCGGCAAGCACAAATCAAAGCCTCACAGAGATGAGGTTTTGGTCTGTCGCTGAAGAAGCTCAAACCGGAAGTCCCAATAATTAAACAAAATTCTTAATTAGTCTACAAATATTTGCAAAGCCTAATGGCACATTCCTGTTACCCCTACTTATATTATTTAGGATGCTGGTTTTGGAATACTTTTTGACTTGTAAAAAAGGAAAAACATTTCTAACAGTTTTAAAAAGAATACAATAGCTTTATCTTATACTACTGTAAATTCTATAGTTCAATATATGACTTTTAGTTGGATGTAAATAACAGGGTTTGTGACATAATTATGTCATGTCCTATTGTGCTCTATTGTACTGAAGAAGTTAGGGGAATTATCCACCTTTTCCTCAATTCTTGAAAAAAATTAGAATAAGGAAAATTAAAAAAATCTTTTATGTACTTATTGTCCAGTTCCATGCCTAAACTCATATCCAGAATATTATAAGCTTTTCAGTTTTTATTTCTTTCCAAACAGACCCCTTTAACATTTTACAATCTTTAGAAGCTATACTGCTTAAACTGATTTGGTTAGTTTCTTTACATTTATGAATATACTTCTACATACTTTAAATACATCATGGAACAGGTTTCCTAATACAGAAAACATTAGTTTAGTTTTAATGGCCACATTTAAAATCAAGAAGTTGTTACTGTTATATTTGAAGAAATCAATAAAAGAAACATCGTGAAAGTTCAAAAAATTAGGAATAACAATTATTTAAAAAAATGAATGTGACATTTAAAATTAATTACACTCACAGCTAAGGTATATAAGCTGCATTCAAATTGCATTAGTATGTAGCTTTAACTGGTATGTTAATACACTGCTCAAAAAAATAAAGGGAACACAAAAATAAGACATCCTAGATCTGAATGAATGAAATATTCTTATTAAATATTTTGTTCATTACATAGTTGAATGTGCTGACAACAAAATCACACAAAAATTATCAATGGAAATCAAATTTAGTAACCCACTGAGGTCTGGATTTGGAGTTACGCCCAAAATTAAAGTGGAAAAAAAACACTACAGGCTGATCCAACTTTGATGTAATGTCCTTAAAACAAGTCAAAATGAGGCTCAGTAGTGTATGTGGCATCCACGTGCCTGTATGACCTCCCTACAACACCTGGGCATGCTTCCGATGAAGTGGCGGATGGTCTCCTAAGGGATCTCCTCCCACACCTGGACTAAAGCATCCCCCAACTCCTGGACAGTCTTTGGTGCAAAGTGGAGTTGGTGGATGGAGTGAGACATGATGTGTCTGATGTGCTCAACTGGATTCAGGTCTGGGGAACGGGAGGGCCAGTCCATAGCATCAATGCCTTCGTCTTGCAGGAACTGCTGACACACTCCAGCCACACGAGGTCTAGCATTGTCGTGCATTAGGAGGAACCCAGGGCCAACCACACCAGCATATGGTCTCACAAGTGGTCTGAGGATCTCATCTCGGTACCTAATGGCAGTCAGACTACTTCTGGCGAGCACATGGAGGGCTGTGTGGCCCCCTAAAGAAATGCCACCCCACACCTTTACTGACCCACTGCCAAACTGGTCATGCTGGAGGATGTTGCAGGCAGCAGAACGTTCTCCACGGCATCTCCAGACCCTGTCACATCTGTCACATGTCCTCAGTGTGAACCTGCTTTCATCTGTGAAGAGCACAGGGCGCCAGTGGCGAATTTGCCAATCTTGGTGTTCTCTGGCAAATGCCAAACGTTCTGCATGGTGTTGGGCTGTAAGCACAACCCCCATGTATGGATGTCGGGCCCTCATACCACCCTCATGGAGTCCATTTCTGACCATTTGAGCAGCCACATGCACAGTTGTGGCCCGCTGGAGGTCATTTTGCAGGGCTCTGGCAGTGTTCCTCCTGTCTCTCCTTGCACAAAGGCAGAGGTGGCGGTCCTGATGCTGGGTTGTTGCCCTCCTACGGCCTCCGCCACATCTCCTGATGTACTGGCCTGTCTCCTGGTTGCACCTCCATGCTCTGGACACTATGCTGACAGACACAGCAAACCTTGCCACAGCTCGCATTGATGTGCCATCCTGGATGAACTGCACTACCTGAACCACTTGTGTGGGTTGTAGACTCCGTCTCATGCTACCACTAGAGTGACAGCACTGCCAGCATTCAAAAGTGACCAAACCATCAGCCAGAAAGCATAGGAACTGAGAAGTGGTCTGTGGTCAACACCGGCAGAACCATTCCTTTATTGGGGATGTCTTGCTAACTGCCTAGGCTTTCCACCTGTTGTCTATTCCATTTGCACAACAGCATGCGAAATTGATTGTCAATCAGTATTGCTACCTAAGGGGACAGTTTGATTTCACAGAAGTGTGATTGACTTGGAGTTACATTGTGTTGTTTAAGTGTTCCCTTTATTTTTTTGAGCAGTGTATATAAGTATTTTATAGTCATTATATTAAGAAAAAGTGTCTATATTATAGTATGAAACTGCCAGCAAAAAGATTGCCCATCCTCACTTTTATACAATACACCACTTGGCAAGTGGTTGGGTTGACAGAATAAACTGAGCTGCTCCCTCACCCCAGGAAAAATCAGAACATAACATCTAAATGTACTGTGCCTGGCAGAAGCCATTAGGTCTCATAACTGAATGGTTAAGCATGTTCTTTGAATCCAACTGGTGACTCAAAGGCTGTAGTTAGAATTTAAAAAGATATGAGGTTCTTCCAATCATACACCATCCCCAGAACTGATTTTCATTACCAGAACTAAACTATGACACACATATCAAAGGTGGCACACCATAACGTTTTGGATGACATGCCTGTTCACCATCAACAACAACTATTCTCAAAAGCATGCCTTTCCTCAATACCTAATGCTTATTGGGAAGAATAATGCTTATTATAAAGCAGAAAGTTGGATATCACCCTGTAACACTGGATGGCACTGAACTGATTTGACAATCAAAGCAAAAAAAATTAGTTAAAGAAAATTCTGACAACCAACATAGCCAAATTCTTGGCACTAAGGAAGGCTTTGGCTCAGTTAAGAGAGTAATAACAATAAACAAACAGAAAAGTTGTTGTAAGTGAAAAAGCATGCAGCATCCCAGCAATTCTTCTATTACCTGGGAAGAGGTCTATACACCTTGTAAAAATCTCCCAGTAGATTAGACCAAGTGCATACATATCGACTTGCTTCAAAGCTGATTCACAGTCCCTTAAATTTACTGCTCCTTCCAGCACTTCAGGGGCCATATAGCGAATTGTCCCGACCTGTAAAGGCATGTTGTTGCATTCTTACATTGGCTTGGTATTTATGAAATACTGTTCTTCAAGTAATTCAACAGGATTTTTTTTTAGCTATATTCACTTTCATCCTCAAGACAGCATTAACATAAAGCTTCCTTGAGACCCATTCTGTTGAATCCCAATCTTATTATTTGCATTTAAAGTAATGTCTGTTCTTTCCAACACATTTTATTTTGTTATTTAGTAAACATAAACTTTCATGAAGAAAACTTGGTGAAACTGAATAATTCTTTAAACAAAAGATTACTAAAAAGAGGTGAAAGTTGCATGTTAAACCAATAAATAAAATATTAATCCAAAAATAATGTTAAATTCCTATGCTTATCTACCCCCTTACTAGTCAACAATCTTTTTAAAAAGCTTAATATTTGCATAATATACATTGGAAAAATTACATAATGTAAACTACAATTTTAAAATTGTAGGCCTCTGAAGCATTCCTAACTTTTAGGAGTATCCTTAGACTATTGAATTGGGAACAAGAAAGAATAAAGAGAACTTACTATTTTCTTGATTTTTCCCATTCAGCTAGTTTTTCTTAGTTAATCATCTGAAGAAAGTTATGTCTCATCATCTTTCAAATTAAACTCCCTGCAAACCAATTAGCCTATGCAAAGTACTGGCCTATATTTGTTGATCCTAAGGAAATGTACCTCCATTAATCTATTGATCATGCCATCATAATCTCTTGTGATTTGAAATAGAAAAAAATCTTCTCTCTTATACTTTAGATCTGATTAGTAGTCAGGCAACCTGAAGCTGATAAAAATATCTACAGCACTCTGATGCAGACTAGTAAGATACATTTGTTGTGCAAAGTATGAGCAATTAAAAGTGTTTCAAGTTGGCTTTCTCACTTCAGAATATATTTCAGGAAGAAAATTACTCTTGCTCTGAAAATCAAAATAAGAAAGATATGTTTGGAGCTCATTGTTCTTTTTATTTGAAAGAGTAAAGTTTTCCAGTGTTTAAATCCACTGTTACAAAATGTGTAAACCTTATGGTAGGCTTTGGTGTCAATATTTCTAAGGTTCATGAGGAGACTTCAACATGTTATTTTTGACTTACTTACCTCACTAATTGCAGCATTATCCTCCTCACCTGGGCGCACCAGTCTATTCCCTGTTAGCTTCATGGAAAGGCCAAAATCACTAATGACACATGTTCCATCATTCTTTACTAATACATTGCGGCTGTTCAAATCACGATGGGAAATGGCAGGCTTGTAATGGTCTGTTTGAATATATAAATATATTGTTTTACCATTCCTTCTGGCTTCTTTTCAACAGAGCATGGGCACTTCAAGAAAACTGATAACACTTTGAGCAGATGAAACTCTTCTAAGTTATCGGTTTTATGATCCTCTTGTAATGGCAATTCAGGTATATTAATGCAATTAAATGGGAATTGTTTGGAACAACTATTAATGAATGCCATAATTACATATCAATTAGGAATGCATTAAATATAAAACCCCTTCAATGTATCATAGAACTGTACTTCCTGAATTATGTTAATATCTTAATACCTGTTAAAATTTCAAGCCTTAAAAAGTCATCTAACTTTCAAGCAATTTGATAAATTACTTAGCTAATAATGTGAAATAAAACTATACCTTTAATAAAGCTTTCTTTCATTTTTATTAGCTGCCCCACAAATTAAGATTTATAATCTTAAATCTAAAAAGACTTGAATATGTGTTTCTTAATTAATTAAAGGTTCATTATTACAAAAGCCACCTACTTCAAAATCTACTAGTTTTGGGGCTTCCGGTTTTGAGCTTCCTGAAGACGGACCGCTGACTGCAATCGTGCACAGCTTTGGTCTGTGCTTCAGTGTCAGAGAGCCCCGATCCTTTGAATTTGGGGCAGAAACCACCTCATAGGGGGCGGAGGAAGGGGAGACCATCAGCTGGGTAAAGGGGAGTCACAAATCTCCTCCCCTGCTTGGCATTTACTCCCTCCTGAAGACGCCTGAAGCAGTGGTCTAAAATGGCCACCCTGAAGGGGAAGATTGTGCAGGAGAGAGTGAAAGAAGCAAACAGCAGGAGGAATGGGATAATATAATTAAAGGGAAGATACTCCCAGGATTAACATTTTAAAGAATTCTTAAGAAAGGATTATAAGCGGCGAAGAGAAAGAGAAAAAAAAGGTGCGAATTGCTTTTGACAGCAGCGGGGCGTTGAAACCGTGAAAGGTAGAAGCTGGAGAAGGAATCATATAATCAATTTGGATAAGTATATTTTGATTCTATATATGCATCAATAAAGCTGAACTATAGATTCTTAAAGAGGAAATTTAATATCAATTGGATTTGATCTTTTTTTTGGAAAACTGTGGTTTATAAAGCTCTGAATAAAACAGAAGGAAAAAGAAAAGAGGGGGTGAAGATTTAGCATAACAAAGAGTGCCATCTAAGTTAAACTTAACTTGTATTTCTTTTAAAAGACTCTGTTTCTTAAAACTGTATGGAAAATTGATAGAATAAAGCAAGAACTTTGAAAAATTGAAACATTGTAACAAAAAAAGAAACAGGAAAATTCTGCCCTTGGATTAATTGTTGATTCTGATATGGACTTGGCATTGGATTAGCGGAGGCTTAAAACTTGAGAGGAAGAAAAAAAAGTTGACTGCTGGAAATAAACTTTAAAGACACTATTTGGATTAAATTGCTAATTAGAAAGTTGTAAAATGGCAATATCTCTTCTGGCATTAAAAATGGAACTTAGAAAAACGAAAGGAATACTACAAGAACGAGGTGAATCACTGGGTTTTGGTTCAAAATTTACTGAAAATACAATTGCAGAATATGAACAACAAAGACAAAAGAAGAGAGGCGGAACAAATTTTAGAAGGGGCCACCTTTAGTGATCATCGAGAACAAAGAACTCTAGAAAGAAAGAGGAAAAGAGTTGGAAATAAATATAGATTTAAGAAATTTAATAAAATGGGGAATATCCAAAAAATTAAAAAAGGGAAAAAGAGTCAGCAGAAATTCAAAGGGCGGAAGGAATCTAGAAGATAGAGAGGGGGATAAAAACTGGAGTGAAAGAATAAAGGAGAAAAGACAAGCGGAAAGATGGGGCAAGAAACAGGATTTGGGAACAAAGAAATATGGAAATTATTAAAAAATGAGAAAAATTGCTTAATTAGACACAGAAATAATGGGTGATTAATATTTAGAAAGGAGATTCTGCAAGGTATTGGAGGGTAATATAAATAAATTTATAGTCATGATAGGGACATATAGATTGATAAGATGGAAAACAGAATTGTTATTTTTTTTTGATAATGGAATCCAATGCTCTTCTTTTTTATGCATAGAGATAATTGTAACAAATAATGGAATAAGCTTTTTAAATATATTGAAATATTTTTAGGGTTGGAATGTTGGCTTTCTGATTTAAATATGAATGGAATAATTAATGGAATATGTGTATCAAATATACTGAAATAAATGAAATGATATAGGAGGAGAGCTGAAATGGAATTAAATTAACCTTAGGGTTTAGGATTGTTTTACTGTTTGAATGAGTAGATTAGTATGTCTTTTTCTTTTGAAAAATTTAATGAAATTATAAAGGGGAAAACCCATGCAGAATCGGATTTATATATGCTATGTAGTTTTAAAGGGATTATTAATTTTAATGGTATAGGTAATAATGTTAAATATTTAATGGGATTTAAAAGGGGTGAAAATTAATGAATATGTAACTTTGAGGTGGCACACTTATATTGATATTTCAGGGGGGGAACCAATTTATAGAAGAAGTGTTTTTTTAATTAGAATTTAAGATGAAATATATAAATGTGACAGTTAAAAGTAAAGTATAATGATTATGAAGTTAATATAAGTGAATTAAATAATGAGATAAGTATTTGGAATAATACAATAAAATGGAAAATGTATAAAAGCATTGCTAAGATAAGAAACTGGATACAAAAATTGAATATGTAACTATAGTCATATTTGTTTGTATATGTGAAACCTGTAATCATGCTGTTCACTAAAGAGATATTAAAATGTGGAAAACTGAATAAAACTTGTTAAAAAAAATTCTACTAGTTTTAATTAGGGTTAGAGTATTCATTATATCTAACTACCTATAATCATTGCGAGTTGCATAGCATATAGGTTTAATACATTATTATTAAAAACTGTATGCTATTTTCTGCTCATTTATAAATTAGATTTATGTACACTTGCTTTTTAAAACATTATTGGAACAGCAATGGCTGCATTTTAACTTTATGTTCTACTTAAATTAGCTTGCTCATTATTGTTTTCATTTCCAAAATCACTGGTAACACACTTTCGTCTTCACTCAGTATTTTTTTAATACAACCACTATTTTTCTTATTTATCTCTTTAAATATTATTTATAGATTTATTTTCATTTTTCTATGCTGTAATCACTCAACAATTAACATTTCATAACAAAATACATTTAAAATTTGTGACAAATCTATTAAGTTTTCAAATGTACAAGGACTACTGATGGGATGGGCAGACAAATTCTGCAACTTCCCAAATGGCATCTGCAAGGCTGGCCTGGAAACAGCAAAGGACTGGCCACGATGCCTCTGCCAGCAAAAACATAGCTGGAGGGGGGGGGGGGGGGGGCTTCTTGCAGCCCTCTGCCAGTGAAAACGTGGCAAAAGCGGGCTGCATGTGCCCCCCACACCCCTTTTTTTTGGCCATGACAGCCTCCTGCAGCCCTCTGCCAGCAACAACAAAGTGCAAGGGGGGTGTCAGCCTCCAAGAAGTTTTCCTGAAATCTTTTGCTGCTTGACTCTTCTGGCTGCCATGGAAACAGGGGGAGGGGTAATTTGGTGTTTGAGGGGGGAAGGGTGCTGGAGCGCGAAGATGTGTGAACAGAAAAGGTTGAGACGCTTTCCTGCTTACTGCACAACTGCATACACTTATCTTTTCTAAGCTAAGGTCAACTGTCTTGGCATACCAGATATATGATGCACCATCTGAAGATTTATCGCACATGACAGTATACACACCTCAGATTGGATGATCAGTTTGAACTCCTGAGGGAACTTGGGATAACTTTCAATATGTAATTTCTATGCCTATTTGCCTCAGAACTTGCTTTCCTTTTGTTGCTATCACTTCAAATCCAGTAAAAGTACTTTTCTCTATTTTAATGGAGTCTTAGGATTTCTTTCTTGGATTGTGGATGGAGGCATAGCTTTCAGGGAGGAAGGAAGGAAGGAAGAATATAATGAGTGAGTGAGGGTCTCAGGAAAGTCCTGCATTAGCAGTTGGCTACCACAGGTGCCCCTGACATGAGTCCTGTGTCCCACCCACCATGGCCATCATGGCCACACCCACCCGACATACTCACCAAGGCCAACACCCCCTCCTGGCCCTCCAAGGTCAAATATAACCCTGATGTGGGCCTCCATGAAATCGAGTTTGACACTCCTGGCCTACACTATTTCCCACCATACAAAAATATTTTTCCATATGAATCAGAAAATTAGGCCTAACAAAGTATTTGGTATTTTTTATGTGCAACCATGGAGTTGAACTCAAGTTATTGACAGCCTGACACACACCAATGATCACACACTGCATCTGGTTTTCAGCTTCAACCAATTATAAGATGATCTGATTCAGTGTTTTTTTTTATCAGTTAGATTTCTCTCTGGTTGTCTATAAATATGACATTTAAATAAAAGAAGAGAGTTATCTGGGCTTATTTCAGTTGGGTTTCAACTGGGGCTTAGTAGAGAAAGCACCAATAATATTTGTTGTGGGTTTTTTTTGAAAATTTTATTTGGGTTTTCACAAAAACAAAATACAAATAAAACATCTTTTTTGAAAATAGCATGGTCCCAGGTTATCACTTCTTCAGACAGACACAAAACTCAATTTCATGCTCATTTTTATATTCTATTCCATATCTTATTACCATTTTATATTTTCTACATAGTTTTCCCCCTCTTTTAATTTTCTCAACTTTGTTTTAATTATCTCAATTCAAATCATTATATTTATACTTTTGTCTGTCCTGTTACAATTTCACATTATCTTTTCTTATTAAACAAATTTTTCCCTGTAGTTACCAATTAGAGTATGACACCTTTATATCCTTTAATTTTATCTATTCAAGCTCTTATTTAAGCTTCAATGTATAGCTTTAAGATTATAGCATTCAATATAATACATAACTTCCAATCGAATTCTGCTTGGTACATTCTTAAAATAGACACTATATTCTTAAAAAGAAAAAATTATATATATATGTAAATAAAGCACATTCCATTCCAATTCAATTCTATCATTAATATCTTAACATCTTTAACATTTCTTTTCAATTAAATATCATACTTCCTTGGGAACACTTATAAACTTTCCATAGTTAATTCTTTTTTTCCCGTGTTTCTCACTTATATTTTTATAAATCATTACTAATAATTAAAAATGTTCCCTTTTAATTCTCTCAATCATTTTAATTCATTTATTTATTAACAAACACCCCACTGCATTACAATAAATATTTTATCCATCATTATATTTTCTAAATTTATTTCTATTTGCAATATAACAAAGCTCTCTTATGTACCTTTGCAGAATCCCTTTTACAATTAAATTTTCACCCATTATCTCTAAACAAATTTATGGTTACAATCCTTACATCTTTTCCCTGTTTCTCCATTTCTGGTTTCTGTCTTTTACAACTTATTTTCCTTGCCTTCTTCCCCCTCTTCTTCTGCCTCCCCTTTTTGCCCCCTGGTCTCTCTACTTCTAACTCTCTCATCTGTAATCCCCTCTTCTGTTGCTTTCTAATATTATACTTATCTTTCAAATTGTTCTTCTTCTTTTTGGTTGTTTTTTCTAGTCTTAAACCTTTCACTCTCTTTCCCCCCTTTTCTTTTTTCCCCCCACTTAAAATTTTTTGATCATTAAAGATGGCTTCTTCTTTGTCCCAATCTTCTTGTTCTGCAAGCGTTTCTTGTTGCTTCTTATAGTTCCAGATCTCCATTTCTAAGAATTGAAACATGAAGCCAAAAGAACTTCTCCCTTCTTGTGTGTCTTCTTTCCATTTTTTAAGTTCCATTTTCAGTTCTTCTAAGAGTGATACCATTTTAAAAACTTTTAAACAACCACCCAGTTAATTTTAGTCATCTAGATGCAAAAACCAAAAATCACCAAGTAATCCAAATAATCCAAGGCTGTTTCTACTTGCTTCTTTTTTCCACTTTCTCTTCCTGGGGTTCTATTATTTTGTTACCAAGTTTCCATTAAAATGTATCTTTGAGGAATCTTGTTAAAATTTCACTGTAAATTCCTTTTAATTATAGTTCCATTCCTTAATTCCAAGCAGTCTCCTCCATTTTTCCAGATCCTGCCCTTCTATTCTTTTTTTTTCTCCTTTCCAGCTTTTAAAAACTTGTAAATGTCCAGAAATCTTTATTATTCCCCATGACTTTTATTTTCAGCTTAGATGTCTATTAATGTCAAAGTGGATTTTTTTCCAGTTTCTTGCTTAAGTCTCTTAGCTGTCAGTATAAGGAAGGGAAGAAAAAAAAAGTAATCCTTTCCCTTCTCTCTCTCCTTCGCAGCTTCAAAATCTTCTTTGGGAACAATGTTGTTAAGTTTAAATTCCAGGGTACCTTATTTGTTGTTTTTGCTGTTTGACCCAGTCAACCAAAACTTTCTCTTCTTATCTTCCTCCTGCACATTCTTTTCTGGTCGAGTTCTTCTTTGTGGTGGCCATTTCTGACCACCACTACAACCGCCTTTGGGAAAGGGAGTAATGGCCAGCTGGGGAGGAGAGATGCGGCTCTCCTCAACCCTGCAGGCAGTCTCCCCGCTCTTCACCACTTCTATGGGGTGGCTTAGCCCCGAAACCAGCCGGCTCAGGGCGCTCCAGCGGCGAGCACGAATCGAAGCCTCGGAGAGACGAGGTTTCGGTCTGTCACCAAAGAAGCTCAAACCGGAAGGCACCAATAATATTTGTTGATGATTGTCCCAGGGGTGCTTTTTCCAAAGACAACTGGACTTTCTTGGTTTATTATTTTCTTCAAAAATGTTTTCCTTTTCATTCAAAAAGCTTCTTCAGTTAACTGAAGGAGCTGAAGGAGCTTCTTGGATAAGAAGCTAAACATTTTCAAAGGAAAAAAACCCAAGGAAGCTCAGTTGGTTTTTTGAAAAAGCATCTTTGGGTTAATCATAATCCAGATTATTGAGAATCTCCATAGGTATTTGTTGATGATCTGTCATGGTATGTCTATCCTGGTTCATCTTGATATTTCAGTAATTTTGGATAACACTGATCATGATGTCCTTGTGGGCAAGCTACTGCATCTGGATAGAGAGAAACACTCAATCCTGACAAATTGGATGGCTATGACTGCTTGGCTCTTTCAGTGCCACAGATTTTTCACCTTTGGCTCTGAATGGGGTGGAATTTCCACAAAGAGAACTAGGATATAGTTTGGACATTCTCCAAGACTCAACGCTCCTGTTTCAACTGCCAGATTAGATTGCTCCTCTAAACTGGACTGAATAGTGTGCCTGTTTTGCAGTAAGCAAAGAGTTGAATTGCATGGTCCAAATTACCTCTTTCAACTCCACAATTCTAAGATTATATTTTTAATAATATATGTGGTCATTTCTATTAGGTTTTTGTATTTTTTAAAAAAATTTCCACATGAAATACTTTGTTTACCATAGCTTAACATAACTTAAAGGAAGAATTCAGAATCAAAACACCTATTATTATCTTACCTCCTCGTGGTAATTCTGTATGAAGATATGCCAGGCCTCTAGTTACAGAATGAGCCATTCGGCAAGAGTTCACCCAGTCACTAGCCTGGAGAGTCAAATATCTGCACAAAGAACCCTGGAGAAAATAAGAAGGCACTTTCTAAGCATTTTATCTTTTACATGAGTTTACATATTCTGTGTTTCTAAGATGCTTTTCCAACATTTGAAAGCACGTAGGGTGATGGTAGTCAACAAGAATAATGCACTTATGGTTACTGTTTACTTTGGTCTGGGAAAATAAGAAATAAACACTGTCCTTAGTGAAACAGTGCTGTACAATCCAGGTAAAATGTGGAAGCATAATGAAGAGCAAACTGATATTTCCAATGATATTAAAAGTTTCTGCTTTTCTGTTACTACAGAAAATAAGAGGGTTGTGGTAGGCTAATAGGAGTGAGTATTGGAGAATGGAAAGTCTTTTCATAAATTTTTTTTTTCAGCAGGTAGGAAAAAAAGTACTTCCTATCAAAGGGTGAGTGGGGAAGGAGAATATAGTTGCAAGAAGCTGTGGAGAGGGGGAGATCTCATTGGTTTAATAAAAGCAAGAGGTCCAAACAAATGGTTTTTTCCAGTCAAAGATCTTCAAAAACTTTCTGTTTAGCTGCATGGAAAAACCTCTGTGGAAGGCTTCCAAGAAGGTAACAAAAGGTACCAAGGAAGTAACTCTACCAGATGCTCCAAACTATCAGTGTGATATGTCAATAGTTGTTTTGATGGAAATGACAGTGTATCCCATTCAAACAAAGATTCTACCTCTAAAGAAGATCCTGAAATATTAATCCACATTTTGCTACACTGTCCTTATTATAAAGATGTCCTGTTGCAGCTAAAAACTACCCCATTTGGTAAGATTTCCAGGATCCAGAATGGACACGATGTGACTAACTACAATTTCAGTGATCTGTCATCAGCTGAAGGGGATATTCTTAATTTTGATGATCACAATAGATATTTAGTATGGTTTATATGCTGCTCAGTTCCCCAAGGATATTACATCCATAAATAACAAGGCTGTCATCATCATTGGTTCCTTTCGCCTTACGCACATAGGGCAGCAAGCTTCTTTCAATGAATCTTATACATGGTGGCATCTTTGGCATCTTCCCATTTGATGCCCATTGTCCGTAATGTTTGTCACCAAATTTTGCATGTCTACTTTGCCTCCCCTTTGTCTCTGGCATCTCCTATTGTACAGTGTTTTTAGGTATTGATATTCTGGCAAGTGAAGAATATGGCCAGCCAGGCACATTCGCATTTCCATCACAATGATCTGCAACTTCCAAGATCCATTCTGCTGGAAAATGTCTTCATTGGTGACATGGTTGTGATAAATGACATGCAGAATTCTTTATACATAACACTGATGGAACACATTGATCTTTTGTGCTATGCATGCTGCTATTGTCCATGTTTCACTGGCATAGATCATTGTTGATAAATGATGTTGGTAAAGTTTTATAAAGCTGTAACTTGGGCTTCTTATCTATTGTTGCGGCTGATCAAATAGGCCGTAAATGCTGGAATACTGCTGAGGTTTTACCAATTCTGTGTTTGACATCTATATCTATGGTGCTATTTTGTGATAAGATGCTAACGTGGTAGGTAAATTGTTGAACATGTTCTATTGGCTGTTACCAGTTGTGATTAGTGTATTAGGAGGGCAACTCCCAATGAACAGAACTTTGGCTAGAATAACAATAATAGTCAGATAATATTAAAAAAACATGCACCAGTTGTGCCATCCAATGAGGACAGGCTAATCTTCCTTATCTACAAATACTTTCCTGAACAGCCATATCTTGACAGTTCTCCAAGACAGGTAAGAGGACAGAATGGAATAGTAAATCTGAAGGAGAATCTGTCACGAGTCTCCTTTTTCTAAGATCAACTTCTGTGCCTAAATAAGAGTCAGTGAGGGCTGTACCATAGGAACCGAAAAGGCAGTAGAAAAGAGATGGCCATTGTGGAAAGGTTGCCAGAACTGGAGTCAGGAATGCAATGACACAGGGTTTTTTTTCTTCCCTTTTTAGCTGTGATTAGATTAGATAAACCTTAATAACAGCTATTTCCCAAGCTGACACTAGGACAGAAAATCCTGAGGATCCTGGGCAGGTAGTGGAGAATTCAGTCTACCTCACAGATGAAGAAGGAACAATTTCTGGTAGATGACAGAAAACTTGGGGGAAAGACAAAAAAATTCTCTTTGCATTTGCAAGGAGCTCACTCATAAAGATTGATTTGCAAACTAAAAACTATGGTGGGTGTGTTCACTAAATGAATGGCAATATTTAGATAAGTCTATTGTGATTTTCACCAAGACCAAAAATACTGTTGATGCCTTTATAAGCAATGTTTAACATATGAATAGCACCCAGAGATTATTGAAAGGGCAATTCAAATAATCCCTTTTAAATTAATTGTATCTTTTATTTTTATTTTCTTATAGCTGTCTGAAATAATATAAATTACTTACATTGGGGTAATATTCCATTACTAATAAATATTCCATTCGTCCATCTGCAGAGCATCTCTCATCCCCAACAATGAAGTGAGCAATATTGTCATGTTCCATCAGTGGAATTTTATAAATATTTCTCTCATTTATAAAATTCTGGCGATTAGCAAAAGAAAATACTTTTACAGCCACTGAACGCTCATCTAAAGATCCTTTGTATACAGCTCCATATCGCCCTCGTCCAATAAGCTGTGAATTTTTTAAAAAAAGAAACAAATTTTAAAGTTCAGGACACTCAATCTATTGATTTTAATGAGCTTCAGCATTTTATGTGTTCATGATTTTGCACACTAAATTTAATCCCCAAAGACTGCATTTTCTAATACAAATGTTAACTGAGATGGAATTATATCTTCTTCAGATTTCTTGTTCTCACTAAATCACACTACTTAGTACGAAGATTTTGCATTACATAGTTATTAATAAATCATGTGAATTATAAAGACACAGAGCTGTAAACTTACCTCCAGTAGTTTCAAACTATCCAGATCTAATGAGGGTTCTAAAGCTGCTGCTTCCATCATGTTCATAGTATGCAGGCCTTTTTTACGGATCCCTGAGGAAAGATGAAGATATCAATTATATTGCTCTTCAAATTGATCAGACTTCTTGATTTATTTCAATAGTCCTGCAATTCTTAGAAACTACACAGTGAGTAAAATATATAGGTCAACTCACTCAGGCTATCTACAGTTCTTTGCTCTTTATTTCCCATGGCAGATTAAGTAAACAGTGCAGGAGACTTGGTATGATGTCTGAATCCAGAATTATATGTGCATGCATATTAGTTAAAACTATAAAGTTGTTTAAAATCATTTTTGTTGTTGACTGACAAAACTTGATTTGTTTGAACACAAGAAACCATAATTTTGTGTCTGTGAACTTCTATTCCTTTTGTTTCAATGCTCATACAAAGAGAAAAGAGCTAAGTGGAAGTAATACAATGCAAGTATTGTGGGCTCAATTGGCAAAAGAAAGCTTAGGACTGTATAGGTTTGAAACATACGGAATAGGCGTTCATCCTGCAGTGGATAGATGATGGCTAAAATGATGATGATGACTGGATTTAACCTAGCCAGGAAACTTCTTTCAAAATGTGGCATATCTACACTGTGTCTCACTTGTTGCTGAATAAAGTTCCACAACCCTTCAGGTCTATGATAGCAATAAAGTTCAACTAATTCCCACAATCTGTTATTACTGCCTATGATGATGAGGATGTTGACAATTATAGTGCAACATTTGGAACCCAAGATTGAGAAATGCTGGATCGCATTAAAAAGGATGAAGCTACGGTAAGAATATGTAACAATGATAATATTATAAGGGTCCAGACTTACTTACCTGTACTCAATGCCTTTGCTCTGATATCTAGAGCAATTTGTCACAAAATTATTTGGAATGTAAGGGGTTCCAATTCAAGTGTAATGTCTAAAGACAAAAAGCCCCCCCCCCCATTCGCCTGTGATTGTCTAATTGTAGAACAGACACAAATTGCTGTCTAGTAGGTTGTAACATTACTGAGGAGTTGGTAGGTTGAATATTTTAAAAATTATATAGCAAAACTGAGTAAGTAACTAAAGAAAACAAATATAATAGGAAAAATAGAAGCAAAATATTATAATAGACATTTATTTACCTCCTAACATCCTGTATCCAAAGAAAATAACAGCCATCAAAACAGCTAGTACAGATACTGATGCCAAAATTATTATAATTGTGTCATCTTGTTGAGGAGGAGCTGAAAGAAAACAAAAAGTATATGATTGTCTCTTCATATATACTCAATTTTTCAAGACAAATTAAATTAATATTCTGACCTGATTTCAATTATCTTGGCATTTCTCCCTCCTTTTGATGGAAAGAGAGGTAGGAGGGTAATTTTTAAAATTCACAGACCGAATCCAACAAGGAGAGTCCACAGAAGACTCTTATCAGGAGAAAGGAGGGAGACCATTTTTCCTTATTTCCCTTCTTCCACCTTCTTCAATTCTTCAGGGGAACTCAATTGCATGGGAAAGGGAAAATAAATTGGTTCAACCATTGTTTTATCACTTATTAGAGCGATTCTGTTAATGAAAACCATACCCGTTCTTCCACAAATTCCAGATCTCACCTTAATTACAAATAATTATAGTTGTTAGTCACTTCACCCTTTCAAAGTTCCACAATGGAGTATTTTAAGAGGAATGTTATTTCTTTGGACTGCACAAACTACATAAACAACAGGTATCACAAAAACCAACTGAATTGAATCAACATGAAAGTCAACAAATGATACAATTACAAGAAACTACAAATCAATTTTCAATTTCTAGTTATGGATCAGCTTATAGTGTAACAAAACGAAGAAGCACTGAAAGTCATTATTTCACCATTGCAGCTACTGGGTTTGAACTGAATTACTATGAGAAAATAAGGCAAATAGCATTTTCTGAAGGATTAATGGTAGTCAGGACAGGTTGCAAAATGTTCTGTGTGAGAGAAATGTTCCTACAGTACTTTGGTCTTACATTAAGGACATGCAACATTTCCAAAGTTGGAGGGATACAACTCTCTCTCGCCGCAATGGGAGGGCTGCAGCTGATGTTATTGTAAGGGGTGGTGACATTTCAGTAAGGGATAGGATTGATTTCTTTTTGAGGTTTTTCAGTGGGATTAAACTTTTTAAGGATGTGAAGAGAAGCTCAAACTAGGCAAATTATTGGTAGGTTCATTCTTCCCCTCCCATAAGCAATTCCACCCTTTTTGCCTCCCCTCCAAACAGCCCCAGATTGCAACTAGAAGGCTCTAGCTTCTATTCCCACCTTTACCACTACAAATTGCATTAATGAAAACTAACCAAATTTAGGCAGCAATGTCACATGAAGGCTGTGGGCCATAGGCTTCCCATTTCTATGAATAAGAATAAGGATCACTAATCTCCAAGTGTCCTCAATACAAATTCCAAAAGGAATATAGTGTACATGGAACCATCTCTTTGGAGACAACTAGATTATTCTGGCCAGATTAAACAATGTGTCCCTCTTCTTCCCCTTGTATTTCAGTCTTCTGGAGGAAAGGTAGGATAGAAATTTGACAAATAAATGAACAAATCTATTTGCCAGTATTTACCATTTTCCTATTTTTCTCCTTTCTAAATGCATGGCTTCCAAAATGTTAGCATCTTTGAATTTGGAACCAATTTAGTTTCTGTAGATATATTTCAATGCCAACTGCAATTTTTAATTTAATTACTTTTTAATTTAAAGAGTTCTTATCTAAAGTTTTTTTTAGCTTTAAATCTAAAAAGATGGTGATGGAGAATTGACTTCAATTTCCGCCCCACCCCCATCCCAGAAAAAAGGACAGATGGTACTTTGAAATTGCACAGTTACCATTAAATGAAATCACTGTTTTTTAAAATGATGTTGGCAGAATTGTTCCCACATTTACCAAATTACTTTGAATTATATTGGGACTGTGTGTGTGTGTGTGTGTGTGTGTGTGTGTTTGAGTCTTGACTCCTGGCAACTGCCTGAACAAGACTACACAGATTTTAGGCAAGATTTTTGGAGGTGGTTTGCCATTGCCTTTTTCCCCGGGCTGTGAGACAGTGAATAAACCAGTCATTCAGCTGGCTTTGTGACTAGAACTTATGGTCTTCAGGTATCAAACCTGCTCTCATACTAAATTGGCACTCTATGGCAGGGATGTCAAACTCAATTTCACTGAGGACTGCATCAGGGTTGTGTTTGACCTCGGGGCCAGGTTGGCATAGGGGGGCATGGCTGGGGGGATGACCACGGTCAGCTTGACATCACTTGTGTCAGGGGCACCTGTGGCCTATGCAGGGCTGGGGGGATCCACTGTATCCAGTGGAGGAAGGCGAGACCAGGGAGAGTGCCAAACCCTTGTCCTCCAGAGGAGCCTCACTGTCCCTCTCAGACCACATGGAAGAACCCCAGATGTGGCACAGGCTGTCCAGAGACCTAGGTAGCAGAGAGCAAGCGCCCAGCCCGGCCCTCAAGCTCCCAGGGCACTGGGACTCCACAGCCCAGCCCAGCCCAGCTTCCCTGAGGGGGTGCCCAACTACGCTTTCCTCCTCCTCAAGCCTGCTGCTGTTGCTCTTCTTGCTCTCCTTGGCCAGGTTGCTTATAGTGTTTGTGGGAAGGCAAAGTGTGTGAGTCAGAGGGAGGCCCACTTCCTCTCCACACAAGCAGACTCAGCTTTGTAACCAAGCATCCTCAGCAATAGGATGAGAGACCACTAGGAGAGGCCAGGAGGAGAAGACAAAGGGATGGCAAAAGAGTAGCAGGCTGCTGGTGTCCAAGTGCTAAGGCAGGACTTCCCCCCACTTCCTTCTTTTTCTTTTTCCTTCTCCTTTCTTCTTCCTTCCCCTCTTTCCTTCTTTTTCCTTCCTTGCTCTCTTCCCATCTTTCCTTTTTTCTCTCTTTCTCTTTCTTTTTTCCTTGTCCCTTCTTGAATGTTCAAAAAAGGGGAAACATTTCTCCTTTTCTTTTCTTTTGCATTTAGTTTGTTTTGCTAGCCCTCTGCCAGCAAAAATGGAGCTGAGGGGGGCATGTGCATAGTGGCCGAAAATGGAGCCCGCAGCCCTCCCAAGCTCCATTTTCACTTTGAGGGTTCCAGGGTGGCCCCACGGGCCAGATCTAAGCACCTGTGGGCTGAATCTGGCCTGTGGGCCTTGAGTTTGACACCCCTGCTCTATGGGATTACACAAATTAAATTCATTTTGACTTCACCTAAGTGCTTATATAACATTGAAACAATCTCAAAGAAGCAGGGAATTGTGATACACTACTAGGCTTTAATAAGATTATTTCATAATTAGAACAAACACAGTTATATTTAAAGCCAAAATTAAGCTTAGATTCCATTATAATTCTAGCATTCTGTGAGAGTCTACAAAATAAAGGATAAATCAGAAATCAATTCACTGCAAATAAAGGCTAGTTCAATTTACTCTGTAACCAAGAATTTTAACTGACTTCTTGTTGCAATTATTGTATTTCTGGTTTAGAATCAATCAAATGAGAAAAAATCATTATTATTACACTTTTTGACTTGTCAGATTCAATACTAATTGATTTTGTCCTACAACTGACTATACTCTCCATCCAAAGAATTTTGCTTTGAGAATGCATTCTGCAAAAAAGCGTTAAACAATGTTATAAAACTATAAAATAAGAATTTTATACTCAAATATAAAATTCAGTCCTATAAAATTAATTTAACAATTTTATAATTTATCAACATAATGTAAAACTATAAATAATATGGATTTTTAAATGCCTATATATTTCTTGTTGTTAATTTGAAAAACATACTGAAACAGAATTATAAATATTTAACTTTTTTATATATTGATTCTATAGGTCAGGGGTGTCAAACTCATGGCTCACGGGCCAAATGCATCATGTGCTCACCCCGCCCCCACCCAGTTTAGCGAAGGGGAAAAAACCCTGATATGTCACGTGACGCCGCCATGACACCACAAGTTTGAGACTCCTGCTATAGGTAGTCTTGGTTAAAGATCTCAATTGGGACCACTGTCCAATTACTGTCTTACAAATATAAATAGATCTCCATGTCTATAGCCATGCCTTCTGAAAGAATGCTAAACCTGTATCCAAAAGTACCAAGCTGACAGGTTGAAGGTATATCTGAAGAGCACAGAAAGAAGGGCTGAAGGAACAGTCCATGAGGAAAGAACTTCACTCTTGGCATATATGTAAGGGAATAGTACTAATAGGAATTAGTCTAGTTCTTTTCCTGTGGCCAGAAACATCCAAAAGAACAACTTTTTATCAGTGCTGTCTCAACCTTCAACTCAGTTGTGCTATTCTACCAGTTTGGCCTGGTTCTGGCAGATTGCCGCGCATTAGCTGTTGAAGCTACAGGGATTGCAGGTGATGAGTAGGAAAGCCTCTGCGTGTGCGTAAAGTGCACGTTTGGTGCACGCACAAAGTATGTGCGGATGTGCAAAGCGCACCCACCAAGCCACTCCCACCAAACTGGTGGTAAACCTCTTTGAAACTCACCACTGCTTCAACTCAATACATGATAGTGACTTTAATACTCAAGGGCAAATTTCATGTATTTAAATGAGTAATTAAATACAGTTCAGGAATCTATGGAAATAAGCTTGAAAATAAGCTTGGGCAGTGTACGATGTACCCTAGCAAAATAAAATAACAGTGGAGAAACATCACTTTCCAAACTCACAAATTATGCAATAATTCATGCATGGGAGATCATCAAGAAATTCCAGGGCTATAGGATACATTGAGATTTTATCCATCCATCCATTTATCCATCCTGAAAAAAATAGTACATCACTTTCACTCTGCCAACGAAAAAAACTCTTGGGATCAGTTCAGAGAAGACTTTGCCTTTTTTTTTTTTTAACCAAAAAGTTTGAGGCAACTCATGATCACACTAGAATGGGAAGTAATAAAAGATGAGTTTGAATTCAAGACCATATTTTTTTTGTGCCTCTGTTTTATTGTGCAATAAATCAAGCAGAAAAAATTATTAAAATTTATCAACTTTCTCTAATGGTGCCTTCCTTTCTCTAACGGTATCTCACTTCTGTATATTGCATCTCTAGTCTGTATATGGAAATTGTAGTAATGTGGGCAGGTAGTGGAACAGCAATCAGATAAGCCTATTATTTCTATCGCTCAGATCAGACAAGATTTACTTTTCTAAAATTGCCATAATTTGTAATGCTTTGTGTAT